CAAAATACAAAATGCTGGGAATATTACCACTGAGGGCGCTATTATTTACACGTGTCGGTTATAGCTTAAGTGTTACTTTTATTAAAACAGTAAAATTCTAAACATAAATAAAGCTCAAGCCTGTAACACGAGGACGGCGTTCTCTGGTCAAGAGGGTTCTAACTTAATAAACCCGCGATAAGATTAAACAGTGGAAAATATACCGCCTGAACAAAAGATTTTTTTTTTGATTTAATTATGTAAAGGAATTCTCATAATGGGAAAATCTCGCCAGAGAACAATAGAATTTCTTTTTTTTAGTGAGTTCATTCATATTCGGCGTGTATTGTGCAGGCAATAAAGGAGAGAAACATATACCATGAGCTCCAAAAGAATAACGAGGGAGGAAGACAACTATCGTATTTTTACGTAAATAACCCGCCCCCTAGTATACCGCACACCTAAGGAGAAAAATGCTCTAAGAAACTTTTAGGCACGTATTACCCGTACTCGTGTATACCCCACACCTAAGGAAAAATGCTCTAAGACACTTTTAGGCACGTATTACCCGTACTCGTGTATACCCCACACCTAAGGAGAAAAGTGCTCTAAGACACTTTTAGGCACGTATTACCCGTCCTCCTGTATAGCCCACACCTAAGGAGAAAAACGCTCTAAGACACTTTTAGGCACGTATTACCCGTACTCGTGTATACCCCACACCTAAGGAGAAAAATGCTCTAAGACACTTTTAGGCACGTATTACCCGTACTCATGTATACCCCACACCTAAGGAGAAAAGTGCTCTAAGACACTTTTAGGCACGTATTACCCGTCCTCCTGTATACCCCACACCTAAGGAGAAAAATGCTCTAAGACACTTTTAGGCACGTATTACCCGTCCTCCTGTAGACTCCGCAAGCCAGCTACACAGACAAATTTAAAGAATCCTTTTACATTAACACAATAAAATCTTCACTCAACACGTGTTGAACAAGAACAACACAAACGAATATTCGGGAATAGAAAATTGTCGATTTCAGTCTTAGAAATAAACAAACAAACAAATACCGTATTACCCGTACACAAATATGCCTCGCAGTTGGCATTTTTGGAAACTGATTTAGCGTGAAAATACGATATCTAACAGCACACACACACACACACTGACAACTCTTATAGCGCCCCCACACAGCCTCTAAGCGCGGTACAAATATTTGCGGGATGGGAACCATGAATTATCGGATTCACAACGCGGACACTCTAACCGCTAAGCCACGCCCGACACAAAGTACAAATAATTGTTTGTTTTAACCACAGAACTGTATAGAGGACTCTTTTATTATTATTATTATGGCTACCAAATTTTAGCATTACATGCGCTCACGCTTCTGCTAAGCTACTGGAGGTAAGGGAGGGAAATAATCAAATAAATTAGTATGATTGTTTAGGAGAAAACCCCTACCAGGGTACTCACATATTAATTAAAGGAAACACTGCCTTTCTTCGAGTTGCTGAAAAAGCTAACAATGTTTCACAACGTGAAATCGAGAACAAATGTTATCGTGCTGACTAGGAAGCTGAGAGTGTATGTATATATATATGTAGACGGTGGAAAGTCGAATGCTGTGTATGTATATATATATGTAGACGGTGGAAAGTCGAATGTTGTGTGTATATATATATATATATAGATGGTGGAAAGTCGAATGCTGTGTATGTATATATATATGTAGACGGTGGAAAGTCGAATGTTGTGTGTATATATATATATATATAGATGGTGGAAAGTCGAATGCTGTGTATGTATATAT